GAAATTGACTCGCCACGGTCAACTCCCGCGCAGCGTCCAAACTACGCTCAGGGACGTCCGCAGTCATGGTCACGCCGGACCCTAGCGCTTCGGTTAGATTTCCCCTGGGCCGAAACCAAGGAAAAGACGGCGCGACGGTACGGTCCCCCGGAGACCTGAATCGTCCCTGTTGGACTGGATTGACGCGACCGCAACGGGCCAATTAGTGGGGCTCGGTCCAAACGGCACCTGAAACGGACCAAGGGTTAGTGAGATATTCAAGTGTGACCGGTTGGGACCGGACCGACACGGCCGCATAACTTGGCCAGAAAAGGAACAGCCCTAAGAAGTCATATAGATGAACAGTCAGGCCCGAATAATTAAGATAGGGTCATGTGCTATTTTTAGCACGGGACTGACTGTTCGTCTCCCAAAGTCGGGCCTGCACCAGTCCCGTTCTAAAATTAGCACAGTCCCACGCTATTTTTAGCGTGGGACTGACTGTTCGTCTACCGGGGGCTGGGCCTGCGCCAATTCCGTTCTAAAATTAGCACAGCCCCACGCTATTTTTAGCGTGGGACTGACTGTTCGTCTACCGGGGACTGGGCCTGCGCCAGTCCCGTTCTAAAATTAGCACAGTCTCGCGCTATTTTTAGCGTGGGACTGACTGTTCGTCTACCGGGGACTGGGCCTGCGCCAGTCCCGTTCTAAAATTAGCACAGCCCCATGCTATTTTTAGCATGGGACTGACTGTTCGTCTGCCGGGACTGACTGTTCATATCCCGAGGTCGGGATTGCTGCTATTTTTAGCATAGGCCCGGTTTAGAGTTTGACCACAGCCCCGACCGTGGGACTGCAGCACTCAGCCCCGATCACCAGGCCTCTCCATTATAAAAGAGAGGCCACGTCACCCAAGAGAGACACGGAAAGGAGATCAGCATGCGTGACACACGTGGCACGGATCAGACTGTGAGAGAACCCTCACCTGCGGGAGCGCTACAACCTTGGCGGAACGGCAAGGGGTGAAAGGCACGAGCCAAAGAACAGCGACTTGCCAGCAGGAGCATGAGAGGAGCACGGAGCAGGAGGCAAGAGAGTCGAGCAGAAGGCAAGCCAGGGGAGGGATAAGGAAAGGGGGGGGCAAGACTGGCCCCTCACTTTCCCTTTCTCATCCTTTTTCATCTCTCTCTTCTCTTCTTCCCTTTCACTCCCTCATCTTTCCAACCGCCTCCATGGGCTGTGTACGTGCTGTATCTGATTTGTGCGCACTATGCCTGAGCCCTGTTGATTGGTCATGAATCGTGCGCTCACGCGTTGTATCTGAGGGTTGATCTTGAGCTGAACACTGAAGAGCACTGCACCTGATGGCTGACTATGAACTGTGCACTCAAGTGCTGTATCTGAGGGTTGACTTTGAGACGAGCGTCGACGAGCAATCAAATTGAGTCCGCTGATTAGCTGTGTCGAGAGCCGTTTTCATAATCCTTTGCTTGGCTGTGTCGGGAAGCACTCAAATTGAGTATGCTGATCCACTGTCTGTATATCAATTTATTGTGCCAAGAGGGCACTCGATTTTAGCCAACTGATTGGTTGTGCCAGGAGGCACTCAATTGATATATGCCAATTCGCTGCGCCTAAAGAGAACTTAATCTGAGCATGTCCCTGCGACTGTCCGCATCTACGTGCGACACTTCGCAAAGTGTGATTTCACATAATCGATATGCAAAGCCTTGCCAAAGTGATTTTGAGGGACTGCGACTGTGCGCACTCGGATTGCGACACTGCGCGTCCAACCCACCAGTTACGACATTTCAATTTGTAAACCTTGCTTCTGATGATCTCGGGAATTGCGACTGTGCCCACTTTAGTCCAAGTGCGACATTGCGCTCTCTGATAAATGCAGGTGCTGTACCGATTTTGAGACTGCCTGCGCGGTCATTTTGAGTAATTAAGTAGATTTTGAGATTGCCTGCGCAGCCACACCGAGAAACAAGCCAATCTTGAGACCGTGCCTGCGCAGTCATCAAGCCGATTTTGAGAATTTGCCTGTATCAGGCTTGAGGGCCATTTGCAACTGTGCGACGAGTACGCACTGTACCTGAGGGCCGTATCTGAATTGTGCGCTGTTCGCACCATGCTGTGCGCTGCTCGCACCACGCTTGAGGGCCATGTCTGAGGGCCATATCTGAACTGTGCGCTATTCGCACCATGCCGTGCGCTGTTCGCACCATGCCGTGCTCTGTTCGCAACATGCTTGAGGGCCATGACTGAAGGCCATATCTGGACTGTGTGTTGTTCGCATCATGCTGCGCGCTGTTCGCACCATGCTTGAGGGCCATGACTGAAGGCCATATCTGGACTGTGTGCTGTTTGCACCATGCTGTGCGCTGTTCGCACCATGCTTGAGGGCCAAGTCTGAAGGCCATGTCTGAACTGTGCTGTGTGTGCACCACGACTGAGGGCCATTTTCGAGCCATTTTGCAATTGTGTGCCAAGGGCCAAATCTGAGCCATTGCAATTCGTATCCGTACGCCGTGCGCACACCACACCCAAGAGCCATATCTGAGCTTTTTGCAGTGTGCGCCCTGGCGCGCGCTGCAGTTAGCTTTTCCGAGTTTGGGACTGTGCGCCCAGGCGCGCACTACAGTTGGCTTTACCGAGTTCGGGACTTTGCGCCCAGGCGCGCACTGTAGTTGGCTTTTCCGAGTTTGGGACTGTGCATCCAGGCACGCAAAGCAGTTGACTTTTCCAAGTTCGGGACAGTGCACCCAGGCGCGCACGGTTGTTGACCCCCCCGAGTTTGGGACTGTGCGCCCAGGCACGCTTGCCGATTTCATATTCAGACGAACACTGTGGATGGTATTCTGGGAACCATGCTCTCATGTGATTAACAACTAGTACTAATTTCAGTTGCGTGCCTGGTTAATGACTCGACAAATAACCGATTCTACGCCCCAACATACATTGACTGCACGACAGAGCTCAGAGCTTCAGTTAACCAATCTCCACTTGATAGCAGTCTGAGTACAGTCTAGGTGTGCGCCCGCACGCGCCCAGATCGGATATTATTTTTTTTGCGCGCCTGCGCGCGCCTTGACCAGATATTATTTTAAGTGTGCGCCCGCGCGCGCCCAGACCAGATATTATATTTTAAGTGTGCACCCGCGCGTGCCCAGACCAGATATTATATTTTAAGTGTGCGCCCGCGCGCGCCCAGACCAGATATTATTTTAAGTGTGCGCCCGCGCGCGCCCGGACCAGATATTATATTTTGAGTGCACGCCCAAGCTTGGTATTGCAGTTAGAGTGCCCGCCCATGCGCGCCCAAGCTTGGTATTGCAGTTAGAGTGCGCGCCCATGCGCGCCCAAGCTTGGTATTGCAGTTAGAGTGCGTGCCCATGCGCGCCCAAGCTTGGTATAGAAGTTAGAGTGCGCGCCCATGCGCGCCCAAGCTTGGTATACCAGTTAGAGTGCGCGCCCATGCGCACCCAAGCTTGGTATTGCTGTTAGAGTGCGCGCCCATGCGCGCCCAAGCTTGGCATTGTGCGCGCCCTTGCGCGCTCAAGCTTGGCATTGCTATTAGAGTGTGCGCCCATGTGCGCCCAGGCCGAATTTCATTATTTGAGTGCGCGCCCATGTGCACTTGCGCTGGATATGTGTGCGCCAGGCTGGATATTGTCGTTTGAGTGTGAATCCTTGTGCGCCCGAGCATAGCATTGCTAGCTGAGATGATTTGCCATCACGCTCCTGTTGATTTATTTCCTTGCTGATCAGCAACACCTTATGCACGTGATATTTTCCCTCGCACGGGGAGCATTGGCAGTTCAGTCCCTGCACAGACGACCTGGCTCAGTCTAGCCCCAGTACATTCAGCATTTATGACTGATCCCTGTGCATGAGATGATTTACTAATCAGTTGCTGTTCAGTCGGGCCCTTCATGCAGGCCTATTTGGGATTGTTGCTGTTCAACCGGGCCCCTTGAGGCGGGCCTACATGAGATTTTTGTTGTTCAGTCGGGGCCCTTCAGGCGGGCCTATTCGAGATTGTTGCAGTTTTTCAGCCAGGCCCCTTCAGGCGGGCCCTTTCTTCTAAGATAGCTGCTGTTCAGCCAGGCCCATTCAGGCGGGCTTTATATTGAGTTGTTGTTCAGCCGGGCCCATTCAGGCGGACCCTACATCGAGTTGCAGTTCAGTCAGGCCATTCAGATAGGCCTCCACATTGAGTTGCTGATTGCTATCTGGCCAGGTCTTGGAGGGAGTATTTGCATTAGTGAGAGTGCACCTTCTATCCAAGCTGGCCTGTCATCATGAGACTGCCTCTACGTGGGGTAGATTGATTGAGAGGTTCTGCTACAGGCATGTGGGACATCAGAGTTTCACTATCAGGGCTAATGAGTTCTCGACCTCGAGACACACGCTCGTGATCACCTACTCGGTGAAGGGGGCAGAGACGGGAGTGAAGGGCACCACATACGACAGGATTGCGGATTACATATTTCGCAGGGAGAGCTATTGGAGGGACAACTGGTTACACGTGGTGTTCCCTCGTGTACCTTCAGCACCTGGGGGTGTGCTCTTCGATTTTGACGGATGCAACCCCAAGCCCCTTAGTGAGTCCCGCAGCAAGGAGAAGAGGCGGAAGGACGACCGGATCCGGAGAGAGATAGCCAGATCCGGGGTCCCAATCACCACATGCGTACAGAGATTAGAGACAGATGAGTCGGACTTGGAGCCCTGCTCTGTGAGTGACGTTGATTTTGGCGACTATTTCGACTGGGACACTCACAGGGACTGATTCTTTGGACAGTAGCAGGAGCGCTGGAGACCGGTGAGCGGAGACGACGGAGAGCGACATTGAGGAGGATTGCATATCTTCTTGCACGGTATCTACTTGAGGGTGATTGACTCCTACATGTCAGGCGACCCTAGGTCTGAGACAGTTATCGGTCCCCCAAAGGGGACCGGTCCCATATCTCGGAGATGGCTACAGTCATTTGGTTGGGACGGACTTTGCTATGCAGGCTTTTCGGAAGCCTCTTTACGGAGATCGCTTTCTCGAGGTTTCCTACATCTACTCTGGTGGGAGAGGACGGATTGAGATATTGATTGGAGCTTCAGGTGACATCACTCTTGCGGAGGAGCTTTATCTCAGGAGTGTCGCAGGCAAGGAGATGGCGAGATGGATGGCCTATATCTGCAAGATTGATCCAGCAGCGCCTCTCGATATTAGCTATGTGGTTCCAGAGTCTATAGCCACGCGGGTTCTCAATGACGAGGCGCCAGATATAGAGTCCCAGAGGACAACACTTGCTCACGAGGGGGTACCGCTTATTATCATTGATTGAGGTTCTCTCTTTTCAGTCACTATGATGTATTACGACATTATTATTTATTAGTGACCGCAACCCTCCGATAGCTGCTCCCTGCATACTCTGTGTACTACTCTTCAGTCTCGTATCTCTGGTCATACTCTTGCAGAGTCTGGTTTCTGGTCTTCTCATTTTGTCAGTGTCAATTGCTCCATGATGCATGTAAGTTATTTTCCTCCTTATTTTAACAGGTTACACTCAAGGCAGCCTGAAGGACTCCTTAATGATAGGGACTCCGGTGACCTTGGGTCTATCCTTTATATGAGGTCAGGTGCAGGCGATAAACCGAATGCTAAGCCGTGTCGCCCCTGGCAGGAGGGATAACCCTGACTACTCGGCTACATGATAAAGTGTGACTGCCTCTGAATACACTTCTATTTTTTATACCTATCAAAATCTTGCGTGACAGCCTGCCAGTCCTCCAACCCACTGAGCTCGGTCCGGGGAAGGATATCTAATCAGACCCTTGAAGCAGTGGGGGCGCGACAGCGTGCTCGAGGGGTAAGGGCCCCACCAACATTCGGTGTCGCGTTGGCATTCGTATTGGCGGTCTGCCAGCTTGTTGATTCTCTCCCGGTTACTGTAGGGTCGCGCCGTGGCGCATTCCTCTTCCTAAGACGCCCTCTGTTCACTAGATCGTCCCTTATATCCTTCCTGATTGGCAATCTTTGAACCTACCACGTGTCGACTCCGATACCAACCTCACGCCCGATGCGTCTTCCTGATCGGAGTGTGAGTGGGCTTGAAAGTGCAAAAAGGGGGTGTGTCAAGGATTTTAGGAAAGTGGGGGTGGAGTCCCAGGTCGAAACTGAGATCTCCTGTGACAAGTTTCAGGGATAGGAATGCAAGAGGATAGGTGCGGGTCGAAGTCTGCTTCTATGCTTCGGAGGGTGGGGCTACCGCTTCGGTTGGTTCCGTCGTCTAGGTCGGACTAGTATTTGGTGCACCGTCGGAACGCTATGGCTATCGTGATGTCCGATCACTTGTTAGCGTCGTACGTTACTAGTCTCAGAATCCGAAGCGCCCGGCCTTAGCCGAAGGCTGTGTGCCAGTCGTTCTTCCTTCAAGCGAGTTCGTCGGATGAAGCCGAAGGCTCGATACTCGCGGTCTTGCAAGCACTCCGAGCACGGGGGTTGGGGCCAATACGGAGCGATTGCACGCCAAGGGATGATGGTCAGCGAATCGAAGGGCAGTATGCGGTGGTAAGGAGGGAAGTCGGTTTCCAGAATAATTATTCCCGGTGCTGCGACAAGGTGGCACCCGTACAAGCTAGGGAATTCAGGGTGGTGGGGAATGCGCTCTCGAGCTCGTTCGATATCCCACTCGCAGATACGTTCGTTTCCCACCGAATATGAAAATTTAGGAAGTTCTCCCCTTGGTCGTGCAGACAGACACACGTGCTCCGAATACTCCCGGAATTCCTAATCCCTCAGACACTCGGCGACCAGTAATACGAAAAGAGAGTTCAATATTCATGCTGCGAGGTGAGGCCGAAACTCAGTCATTCGCAAAGTTGGACCGAGTACAGGCTCTACAAACACTCGTGTAGGCCACGTTCTTCTAGTCGGGCTTACACGTACATGTACAAGGCCTGCCCTTCGGCCCGATGGACAAAGACCAACGATCCGCGTCTCGTACACGCCGGCCCGTTAACCGAAGGTGGATAGTCTTATCGTGAGACAAACATCTGATCATCTAGCATGCCTATTTAATTCAGACAGAAAAATACCCATCATCCATGCGTCGTGTTTCATGCATACATAAAACAAAAAGAAGGTGACAATCGTTCATGCATCAAGATCATACAAAATTCGGTCGTAGGTGATTAACCAATCAATGTGGCCCATCCATATAGAGGGAGGAGCAAGGTGGGAGAAGCAATCATACATTAATCATTAGAGACAAATAAAGAAAAAATCCAAGATGTCGATCGAAGAAAGCAAAAAATGACTTGCGCCAGATACCAAAATTGCTCAGAAGAATGAAAGAGAAAAACATCACCATAACACATCCCATCTCTCTCTCTCTCTCTCTCTCTCTCTCTCTCTCTCTCTCTCTCTCTCTCTCTCTCTCTTTCTCTCTCTCTCTCTCCACAGTATCCGATGCGGGCAGTCTGCCGCTTCGCACCTACACAGAGTTGTCACCCCGCTTAGTCCGAGCATGCCAGCCAGGTTCGCCCGTGTGCCACCGTCCGTCGCGGCTCCATGTCAACCCCGCATGCCCAGCACCAGCTCGTCGGATGGCCTAACTCTCTACTCACCTTCCAAATCTTGCTCGTTAGCCGATCCTCTCGACCGCGCTAACTCGCAGAATTCTTAGAGAGCCAGTTAATCGCGTTTGATAGATTTATAGCATGCATGCTTGTGCGATATACCCGGGGTTCTGGCTAAGTGGAAAAAGAAGGAGGAAGGAAGTGCCTATGTCTGCATGGCCAGGCCGCGCCGTGGGGGACGTAGCATCACTCCACACATTGATCCAGTTGTGCAAGCGTTCCGTCCAATTAGGACAGAGCAAGAAGTGCGCATGCACATGGACGCCACAAAAGATATCAAGAACAGGGGGATTACAGTCGCAATTATGCCCGCCAAAACAAAAATTACAGTTACACGCAAGGATAAAGGAGCGGAAAAGTCAAAACATAGATCCTGACGCGGCAAGGCATGCACCAACAAGAACCGTTGTGCAACAAAAATTGAGACGTGCCTAAATTCCTACTCTAAAGTCTAATTGCGAAAAGAAATTGTGAACGGAGAAAATTCCGAGAGCTCACGGGGGCTCGACCTCAGTTTAAAAATTCAAAAATATTTTCCCGCGCGACGACCGCGCCAAAATTCCCATTTCCCACAGCAGAACAAGAAAGAAGCTATGGCAACAGTTATCTTTCGCGCCCGTTAAGGCGCGACCAGCTACCAATCGTCACAAGATTTCCCCGGCCTCGATTTCAAAAAATAAGAAAAGCAAGGGCGCCCATGTAATCCCACGGGCCCTCCTGACTCAACCCCCGAAGTAGCCTTGCGCAGAAAATAGCGCGGTTGCAGAAAACAGTTCGTCACAACCCTCTCTATCATCACTAGCTTCCTCTTTCCTTGTGGATGCCGGGGGTTGAAATATATTGACAACAATGCCCAAAATACGTTGACTTACTGCTGACCACCTACCTCCATCGGGTAATCCTTGTTGCAACGCTTGGTTGAGACTGAGACTATTGCTTAAACCACCACTACCTTTCCAAGCTGTAGTCCCATTCGGGAAAAGGATGTCAAGCGCAAAGTTCGGGGGTCCAGGCGAGGGTTGGCAAAAACAAAACATTTGGGCCTTGTGGGCCCAATCAGAGAAAAAACAAAAAGAAAAAAAAAAGAAACTGCAGAGTTGAAAGGCACGCAAGTGGCATTCAGGAGGTTGTGGGTTCAAGCCCCATGACGGCCTGCAGCGCACTTAGTGCCAACGGACTGTGATAGTCCTCTGGATACTCCTGATTGGTATTAGCGGGGTCTATGACCAACACGGGTGTGAGTGCGAGCGCGAGTGGGTTGTGTGTGGGAGAGTGTTGGCCATAGCCTCTGCTGCTACTCTATGAGGGGTGGGGGACGATGCGAAAGGGAGGCACAGCTACTGGCAAAATGCTCGGTCTACCAGCGGCCCCACCCCATCTCTGACTACCGCTGTTGGGGCGGGGGGCAACATGGATTACCTCGTTTTCGAGGCCCTATGCTTGCAGGGGTCCCCTCTATATAGTCTGAGGAGTAGTGGTAGGAAGGTAGTGAAAGGCAAAAAATAATTTGAGAGAAGAACATAGTGTAGTTAAAANAAAAAAAAAAAAAAAAAAAGGAAGGCCGTCGGGGAAAGCCAGGAACGAAGTGTGATGTAACATCCCTTCACCGAAGAGAGGTAGAAAGCTACGCTTGCAGGGGTCCCCTGTATAGCATTAGGAGTAGTGGTAGGTAGTGAAAAGAAAGATATCTTCAATGACATGGCAGAACGCCTGAGAGAAAAATATATGGCTGTCCCCTGATGAGGAGAAGGCAGCTTTTTGAACAAAGGAAAGAAGTGTGCTCACAGCAGTGCCTCCAGGAATGCATCTGCCCAGAATCATCGATAGTTTCATCTTTTGTTTTTTGTGTTTTTTATTTTTTTCTTCCAACTTAGTTTTAGTGCCCTGCTGACGAGGCAGGGCGCTTTCCACGCCCAACTGACACTTGCAACCAATGGGGCACTCTCACATGTAAGATTCTGTATCCAGCTGCTTTTACGTCCAAAGAGTCGTTACTGTTTTTGCGTTTTTTTTCGTACAGCCGTGTGTGCTGAGGGCTGTAACGCCCGTTGGGAGGGCATATTCTCACTTGTGCCCTTTTTTCGTACAGCCGTGTGTGCTGGGGCGTTACAACGCCCGTTGGGAGGGCATATTCTCACTTGTGCCCAATGTTCTGTATCCAGCTGCTTCCAAGTCCAAAGAGTTGTTGCTTTTTTCCCTTTTCTTTGTTTTTTTGTTTTTTTAAACTAATATTTTTGGTCCACAAAATCGAAGAATTGAGGCCGGGGACGTCACAATTCCACCCGGAGTTATCCCGGCAGCTTCAGCCGGTTTAGCTTACAGGCATGCGCCTGCTAAAGCCCCAAAGTCATTACCTTTCCCGAAGTCTTACTGTAATTCCTGTAATAGTCTGTGCGAAAACGCTTGCGTATAGAGGAGATAAAATATCAGCTCTATTGTACCATGTGAGTCTAACCTAACTGCCTCCCCTGTCTAATCTAGAAAGGGTTCCTAGCTAATAAACAGGCCTAAGAAGTACCGGCCTGACATCGGCCCAAAATCGACCGATTGGACCCGGGAGGTCCCGAGAAATGGCACTCTCCACCCACCTCCCCTTGTTGCCTACTGTGGCTCGCACCTGGACAACAGAGTGCCCAGGTTGTGGAGAGGGATTTGTTGTGGAAGAACGGGTAGGGATGGTGGAGGAGGGGGGAAGGAATAAGGAGTTAGAGAGGGAGATTAAGGAACAGAGGAGGGAGCGAACTCAGTGGGGGTTAAGTTGGTGGGGTTGGGTTGTGTGACTTAGGAAGTGAGCCAGGGAGAGATGGCCAGGCGTCCCTGGTGGGTGACTGCTGCGAGCTGGTTGTCTCTGGCCCAGGTAACCAAGAACCGATGTCGGCCTCTGATGGTGCCGCCTCTTGCAGCTTTTCTGATCCAGTCCACTTGAATCATAGTCCGGATCCAGGCTTTAACTTTCTGAATCAGTGCTGGGTCGCTCATCCACTGCTGGCTGAAGAGTATGTTGTTCCGGTTCTCCCAGATTGTCCAAATAAGGATGGAGCGGATTGCTTGAGCAACATAGCCTCTTCCCTTGTGTTTGAACCAGCTCCCCGGTATTCGACCGTGCATCGCCCACGTCTCATCCCATGGCAGGAGGTTTCCTACAAATCTGAGCCAATGTTTTTCCCACCACTGCCAGATGCGCCGTGAGGCTGGGCAGGACCAGAAAAGATGAGTGAGTGATTCCTCCGCCTGGCCTCCACAGCGTCTACACTTGGTATCCAACTCCATACCCCTCTCATACAACCAAACTGAGTTAGGGACTGCAGCATGCGAGAAGCCACAGTAGAGCTGCGAGCTTCTGGGAAGGCAGTGCTAGGAGCTGGGCCCAAAGGGTGCGCAGTTGTCTGTCAGTGACTGGGTTCGCTGTTGTGGCTCTCCTGTTGAGGTTGCCTGCGACCATTGAAGGGAGGTTATCCACATTGGTAAGGAGTGTTCTGCCAAGCCTTGAGGTGTATTGACATAGCAGTTTCCTGTGTCCTGGAGTCAACTCCCATAAATGACCCAATGGGTCAATTCGCAGGGTCCTGACCGCTGCACCTCCGCCCAGAAGTTCATGCGTGGTAGTCCCTGCTACAGTCGAGGTATGAACCCGCACCTGTTGAATTGCCTGTGTAAGAGGCACAACTATCTCCCCTTGTAGCTGAAGTTTAAATCTCCCCGTGTTGCGCCCGCTGCAGTCCATTTCTGCGCCTTCCAGGTGTCCTCTTCCAGTTGAATCCATGATGAGTAACATTGTGCGTGGTTCGTTATCATCTTGGGGGGGAGTACCATTACCCCTCTGTTGGTGCTCGTGTTTGCAGCAGGGCTAGCCAGTGAGGCGGTATAGCAATCTGGAGCTGATGACTTCGTTCGTTAATCAGCTGCAACCTCCTGAGCTTCAACTTGAGGTGATCGAGGGTGTGCCAGTCGCTCGTTGTTTCATCCCAGAGATCCTCAATTCTATCAACTCCTCGATCTGTCCATCGTCTGCCGAAGTTTCCTGGTGTGACTGATGCTGCACACGGGATGCCCTGATCGCTGAGAATTTCTGCATTGTCAAAGAGTATTTGCCTCAGGACTTCCTCTCTTGTGGTCGGTTCCTTCGTGTGGGGAGGCATCAGAGCTTGCCAGGCTGTCCAGCAGGCGTTTGCAAGTGGTGAGCGCAGCTGTCTACGATTGTAGGAGGACATGAAGACTGCACACCACACATCTTCTTTTCGGGCTAGGCCCAGCTCCTGCTGAAGGAGATATTCGAGCACAGCAAGCCAGGCTCTTCTGTCTGGCTGCCTGGCTGCTTTCAGGAGCCACTTAGTCATCAGGGCGAGATTCTGCTTCCCCGGATCCACTATGCCAAGGCCGCCTTCCCCTTTCCTTGCAGTTACCTTTTCCCATGCGCATTTGGTAATGAAGCCCTGCCCTTCCTGTGCAGAGGGCTTCCAAAGATAGCGTGCCGCGTCTGCAGTGATTTGTCTGGCGGAGGCTTTGGGCAGGAGACAAGTTGCAGCAACGTGCCAGAGCTGGGAGAAGACCACTGATGTGATGAGCATTGCACGACCGAGTAGCGAAGGCCCGACGGCTACTCGGCAACGCTGAATGCTGGCACGCGTCTTGGCTTGCAGTACCGAGAATGGCGTTCGTTAGAGAAACTTGCACCCCAAGGTGGCGCTCCGAGAGGTTGGGGGGAACTCTTTTCATACCCCAGCTTTTTCCCCTATTGGTGTGTTTTGCTGAGGGCAGTGACACGAATAATCTGCTGGTTGTGGTCCAGGTGATGATGTAGTATTTCTTTCATTTTCCCCATTTGTGTTGGCCCTGGCAAGTGCAACTTAGACCTGAGATGCCACAACTCTGCTGCGGCGTGCATAAAAAAATGGCCAAGGAGAATTTTTTCCTCTGTGATGAGCATCTCTTTGTTCTCCATATGCCACCAATAAGGCCAGCCTGGTTGTTTTGGACAAGTTATGTTGGAAGTCTGACCATCTTCTTATTGTGTGCTGTGGTGATGGTAAAAAAAAAAAAAAAAACAGTATTATGAGCAAAAGAGATTGGCGGAGGCTGAAGCTTCTAGAAAGGCACTCGTAGTCATCCACGACAGGCAGACGATGTGCATTGACATTTTGGTTCATGGACATCCTCAGTCTTTCGTAGGTAATGTCACTTCACCAAAAAAAAACGTTTTTCAAATTTGCAAAATGAATACTTGATAGTGGGATTCAGTCCTTCTCACTCATAGAACAATCATGACTTTTTTGCATTGTCTATCTCCACAGTTCAACGTATGTGGACGTTTCTTTAAGATTTGTCATGTTGCTGTCCTAAAATCAATGTCATTCAATCATTTATCTAAACTTCCCTCCCCAAATCCTCTTTGTTTGTTTATTTGTTTGTTTGTTTGTTTGTTTGTTTGTTTGTTTTGTTTTTTTTGTGCAATGGTGGCAGCGACACAAACAAGTTCCCAATTGGCAGAAAAAACATGCGTCGGCAAAACAAACAACTGCCAAGTTCGGAAAGACCATTAAAGCACCGCGGCCGTGACAGAAGCACATATGTCGTAACTACAGGGGCGGGCCGTGGTGCCAGATGGGAAAGTGGGGGGATAAAATCTATTTTGACTGAAATCGCCATTTCACACTTGCGACATAAGCACAGTGCCATTTTGCGTGTTCTTTTGCCTTTTCAAACTCAAAACCTGCTGTGCCTGCTGTGTTTCTCTTTTCATTATTAAATCCATCAAAAGGTCCAAGTGCCCAATTGCAGTACAATGATATGGCAACAACCTTTGGTCAGGAGCCGCTACCTACTTGGAGCCGAATAGAATGCCCGATCATTATGGCTGCATCTGGACTGAGAACTGCCCCAAATGCAGCTATAATGACCAGACGTTCTATTCAGGTGAAAACCCTAGTCCTCAGAGCCTGGGAACACAGGCTATGCTACATCAAAGGGAACGATGGAAACCTATGAATAGCTCCAAAGAGGGTAGTACCCTCTCCACCTGATGAGAACACCTGGTCATCAGAGCTGTCTGTATTTGGGGCAGCTTTCATTCTAGATATTAGCTATGATGACCAGGCTTTCTGTTTGGGCCAGGACCGTAGCTACTGACCAACTATCTCTAGTAATCATTCGACATGTTCTGAGCTGATAGCACATATGGGCCTCTATTTCACGTTTTTTGAGAGGGAGACTCCTCTCCACTTACGTCTCTATTCTTCACTAGCGAGGGGTTGTCCAGTTGATGTAGCTCAGTGGTTAGAGCACCGGTTGGAAATGCGCATTGTGGTATGAGGTTCCGGGTTCAAAACTCCGCAGCCTTGCGCATGGACACCGGCAGGGCGCTAGAATGACGCGCGGCTGGACACACATCCCCTTGGGATGACGCAGGTAAGTTATTACAGACATTGCCTGCGCACCACCCAAGGGGTAGTCCATGGTTGTTGTATGTGGGGACTGGGCGATGGTGGGTATCCCGATGTTCTTGGTCTACGGGGTTGTCATGAGACTGCTGGGTGGCTCGCATAGTCCAGTTTACTCGAGCCCAGCAGAGCACAGCTACAGACTATTTCACAGTGTAGGTCAATAGGTTAGGTCACTTGCACGATTCACATAAGGTCCTGTGTTCGATACCAGACTATAACTTACTACTTAGGGCTGGTCATCCTCTTAGTACGTGGTCAAAGGATTGAGGCTGGCATAGCAGTTCCTTAGTACGGGATGTCGGGAGTGTCAGGAGATAGTGCACTTTACCGCAGGGCCGGAACGGGCTCCAGGGACATACAAGGGAACAGAGGATTGTCTGCTCTCAGATTACCATACAACACAGGGCTAAGAGATTATCCAGGGTCAATACATACAGTCCATGATGCACGATCGAGGGTGGGCTATCCTCCTAGTACGTACATTAGAGTTGAGGCTGGCATAGCAGTCCTTAGTACGGATGTCAGGGGTGTCGGGAGATACTGTACCTTACCGCGGGGCCAGAACGGGCTCCAGGGATATACGAGGGAATGGAGGATCCCCATCGCTCTACCATCAACACCATAGTAGACTGTAGTAAAAAGACAACATAAGGATAAAGAAACTCAGTCCATAAACTCATGACATAGGGTTGGCTATCCTCCTAGTACGTAGCATAGGGTTGAGGCTGGCATAGCAGTTCCTTAGTACGGGATGTCGGGGTTGTCATGGCCAGAACGGGCTCCAGGGACATACAAGGGAACGGAGGATACCCAGCTCTCTATCATCACCATACAACTAAGCTAGATGGGAGTCGCTGTGCACCTTCATGAAGACCTGTAGTAGCATGTTCAAACCTAGCTCCCGAAGTCCCCGTGCAATCAGGCTTGCACGGCGTCTGCTTCAATCGGGGCTGAGCAGGGGGTAGGCATCTCTGCTTAGCCCCGGTACCTGCAACCGCTGTCCGGTCAGGTCAATGTGTGATGGTCCTGGGTGGTTAACACTAGGGTAGGACAGGGGGGGTGGGGGTGCGCCAGGGCAAAAGATAAGAGGAAGGGTGGGTGGGGTCTTCAGAGGGGTTCATCTGGACAACCGAGTTGCCAAGAACTGTGAGTGACTGCCATCCGTCTAGTATCCCACTTTTACAACAACCTGGGCTTTTTGAATGTTAAAAAAAAGAAGAAAAAAAAAAAACACCATATATACTAGCTAAGCGCCCGCGGTGTGGGCGG